GTAATAGTATCCTCGTCTACGCTAGAGTATACGTTAAGTTCTACTATAGACTATAAGAAGCGTCTACTTCGTACTAAGAATATATCGTTACTAGACTTTAACTTTATACCTTTATTAAGAGTATCGAGGAATCTATACGCTTCGTCCTTATACGTACCCTACTCTACTAGAGTATAGAAACTACTCTTAATTAAATCTTTAGTTTATCGGGCTAATCTTCGCGTTATAGTATAAATAGAAATATTTATAGCGCTTAAGTTACTATTTAATAGCGAACTTTCCTTACTACCTAGGCGAGATCGGAGAAGTTATAAAAATAAGTTCTTAGAGTACTTTTAAAAAGTTATATAGTTTAGTCGACGAAATAGGCTATTAGCGGAATTCTCCTTTCCCTTTCGATACTATATTACGAAGTTAAAAATATTAAGTACTTTCGCCTAGCGTACTTATCTACGATTTAGCGCCTTTATCGATATAAAATACTTTAATATATTATAATTAGTTAGGACTAGCGTACTAGTTATAGCTCTCTCTAAGTAATAGCGCTACTCCTTAAAAGATTCTATAATAGCTAGTATCTCCTAATTCGATATTCTATAGTTACGCTCTACGACGTTCTACTTTCTTAAAAAGAAAGCTATAGGTTTCTATATTATCTATCCTCGAATAGTACGCGACTTATATATTTATAAGAAAACCGAACTATAAGTCTTTCCTAAGGCGTCGAATTCTACCTTATACTATTATATAGAATTATAGTAGACTAATAGTAGCGTACTATAAAAGTATACTTTTAATATCTTCTAAGCCGCTTTAGCCTCGTCTATCTATTTAAACGGGCCTATCTTCTTTTCTTTCTATATTCCTTTAAGGAGATTAGTAATAGAAGTAGTTACTTATAAGTATCCTATAATAAAATCTCGATAGAAGTTTATAAAACCTAAAAAGACTTAGATTTTCCGGAAAGATATCGACTAGAGCTAGTTTTAGACCGCGATAACTCTTCGAGAGTCTATTAAGATACTCTCGACTCCTATAATAAATTCTAAGAACTCGACTCTCTAAGTCGAGAACTTATACTTCGAAAGCTTAATATATAGTTTATACTTTTAGAGCCTTTCGAGTATTAAGTATATATATTTAGTATATTTTATCGAATCTTAACTAAAGATAAGGATATTATCGAGATATACTACGTATATAATATTAAGGAGCCCCTTTAACGCCTCGTTAATATAGGCTTAGAAAGTTACCGAAGTATTAGTAAGACTAAACGATATAACTAGATATTCGAAGTAGCTATATCGCGTACGAAATATAGTTTTCTAGATATTCTTCTCGTATATTCGTATCCTATAGTATATATTACGTAAGTTTAACTTAGTATATATAGTAGCGCCGGCTAATTAATCTAGTATCTTACTAATTAAGAATAAGGAATAACGATTCTTTACGATTACTCTATTTAAGGTACGATAGTTAATATAGAATCGTAAGCTACCGTCCTTCTTTAGTATAAATAAGATAGAAGCCTTCGTAGACGACTTACTCTTCCTAATCTATCTTCGCGCTAGATACTTATTAAGGTACTCGCGAAATACTCGAAGCTCCTTTATACTAAGGGAATAGATTAGCCTATAACTCGCTATCGAACCTTCTTCTAAAGAAATCGAGTAAGTTACTCTAGTATCTAGCGGTAGCTTACTTATATTTTCTTCCGAGAATATATTACTAAAATTTCGATACTCTTTCGATAAAGAGACCGCTATACTTTCGCTATTATTCTATAATTCCTCCTTAATAGGATTACTATTAGACTTTAAGTCCTTTAAGTAGATAGCGTAAACTCGATAGATTTTAGCTAGCTTTATTACCTTTCGAAAGGAAATAAGAGCTATATACGCTTTCTATACTATACGATAATACTACGTATTTTCGCGTTAGTAAACTTCTAGATCTACTACGTAAAGCTAAGTATACTTAAGAATTATATTAAAGTTACTAAGATTAGTAGCTAGGAACCTATAGGTACTAGGAATATACGTTCCTAATATATTAGTCGTATATAGGGCTATATAGTAATCTCCGTAGACTTAAATTAAATAGCTATCGATAGCGTAAGTACGCTCCTTCGATATCTTCGTAGCGAGGCCTTCCTCTATAATTACTCTCTATAATATAAAGTTTAGCTCCGCTCCGAAGTCGATTAGTACGCGAAGCGTACGCCTTTTACTACTAAACTTCGTATCTATAGTTACTATTAGTATTCGCGACGATATCGTACTACCTTCTAGTAGTCTTAATACGCTAGTAGCGCGTAGCGTACTAGATACTAATTTTTTTATCTAGAAGAATTTATTCTTCTCCTAATTCTTATCCTTAGCTATATCGCTAGCTACCTTATTAGTACTCTACGAGTACTCTACTCTTATATATTTAGGTTAATTATAGTTCTAATATAGCCTATCGCCGAAAGTAAATCTATATTTCTTATTCTTTCTCTTCGACTTATCGTTATATAGATAGAGCTTCGAGCGCTTCTTTTAAGGAGTTTCCGCGCTCGACTTACTAGAAGAATACTTCGAGACTTCTCGTAGTTTAGGCCTTTTACTAGAGGTCCTTTAGAGCTCCTCCTAACGCTATATCGCGCGTAGGACTTACTCTTTAAATTTAATATTAAGTAATTACTTTATTACTTCTAGTCGAATCTTAGGCTTTAATACGAGTAGTAGCTTCTAAGTATACGTCTCGCGTTTAGATATCGGTAGAATATTCGTTCGAATACGTATAAGCTCTTCTTATAGTTCTCGAACTATCTAGCTTTCGCTCTAGCGTTTCCGCTATAGGCGACTTAGTACGAATATTAGGCGGTTCGCTAAGTCTTATACTAGGTTTCGTAGGAAGTAGATAAAGTCTTTCTATATTAGGACGGCCTCTTCTCGGCGCGCCTATACTAAAGTAGTAGTATTAGTTAGGAATATAGCCGCTAAGTTAATACGAT